TTTCCCGTAATATTTGAAAAAACTGGAATCAATCTCTTTCCAAAATCACCGTTTCAATTATTGCATGCCCTATAAAAATTCCAATTGCTAAAAATCAGCTCTCTAAATCGACTATTCCACTTTTCGTTATTATGCTTCATGCATTTTTTCCAATTTACTACGTTTTTATCGGAAACTGCATCCGGAAACAAGGTTAGCACATTTTTCGCTAATTTAAAAGACATGTAATTTGACCAAACCAATTCATTCGCGCTTAGTTTAGTGTGATAAGATGTCGAATTATGTGAGTATAAGGCAACTAATTTTATTCCATTTCTCAGTTCTTCGAAGCAACAGCCATCCTATACCAGCCTCGACGTCACTTTCTGGATGTCTAACATTATTTGGATCTGCTTATTTTCAGTATCTCTCATCTAATGTTTTTTCTTGCACACTGCATAAACCTTAGCCTGAAGTACTGTAGTATGTTTTTTATTGTATAGCTAAATGTTATTGTTAAGGGTTTTGGAAAATACTTCAGCCCCAGTGTCTTTTGCAGTCTTAGACCCGTCTGTATATCAGATTTGTTTCTGTCATTAAACGTTAGAAATCTTCGTTCTGTTTGGCATTAAAACTTACAATGCAATATCATAGATGAAGTATCTGACGCTTGGTTATGTGATCTGTTTTCATGTCTAGCCGTCTCCTGTCAGTAATCTTGTGATACTTATGTGACCAGTCTAATGTTAAGATTTCCCAGAGAGTGTTCAAATCTATAAGCACCTAATCACCTGCTTACAAATGGTTTATCGCTTAGCTTGAATCGCCAATACATAGTTATCATGGCAAAAATAAAATGTTATTAAATTCTCGGCTAAAATTTTCCATTTTTAGGTTTATCTCGACTTTTTTTCTCTATCTGTTAATATTGCTTTACAAACCTTTATTATGGTTTCATGTTTAATTTCCTTTTTGTTAACAAGTCCTTTGTCTAATGCATAACTAATTTTATTCGCTTTGTCTATCCCATCATATAATAACATTTATAAAATATGCAAAGTACCTGTTAGCCGGCTGTATAAAAATAAATTCAATTTTCATTCTGTGAAAGTGTATTTAAAAATAGATAAAACCTCGTTGCAATTAATCAGACTCTCGCCGGTTTTCTGCGTACTTCCGTATGCAAGTGGCTTTCTGGCCCGGGAGAACCATTATCGCACTCGAATAAATTTTGCATTGCGAAAACTGGTGGTAATTTTTCAGTTAATTCTGCACACAAAGATCTTTTTCCGTACAGAGACCAGCTTGCATCCTATGCATGTTTCATGAACTAAGCAGGGCCGGTTCCTGTTTTACGAGAAAATATATTTGAGTGACATACAGGTCTATGCATAGATACAGTTCATCAAATTTCTAGAGGTGTTCGACGCCCAGACAGAGAACGCGCTACGTGTGACTAAGATAGCTATTGTACAGTCTGCTAAACAAGTTATTTTAAATAGTTTTTAATATTTTTAGGTAATTAAATTTTAAAAGTGTGGAATAGTTTAGGGATTAAATTGGTCTGATTGGACTTTCTTAGAACGTTTTTAAAAGCAGCTAAAGATAGTATGTAGAATTGAAAATAATTATTATGCCATAAAAGGTGTTTTGGAATTCCTTCAACCTTTTGAAATTGAGTCAGAAAATATAAATTTTATAGGATAGCGGAAAATACCTATAATTTTTTTGTAGGCCTTTGTAAATCGTGGAAATAGTTTATATTTTATTTCTACCTTATTAAGGAAAATGGTACCTATTATTAATAACGGTTGTTTCTGAAACATTACTAAAATTTTCGAAATTTTGTTTTTCTACAAAATAATAAACTATACTATTTAGAAAAAAATTTATTTCTCTTATAATTTTAGAAAAGGGGGAATATTTACATTTCTTGATCTATTAAATAAAACGATAAATTATCTCGATGAATGACACCATGTTCTAGTACGGAAGCTAGCTTTACATTTTTGTTGGTGGTTTCATGGGTTTCATATCAATTTTTTGTAATTGTAGTTTACACGTACATATACCTCTTAACACTTGTTTGCTTTATTAAAAAAGTGTGTTGTTGTGATTTACGTCGAAATAAGTCAAAAACAACTTGAAACCCCATATAAAATCAAAAAGGAGAAACGGAAAAAAATTGAGCCTGTAAATGAACACAACTCAGAAACAAAAATAGCTATCTAATAATAAAAAAATAAAATTTGATTCTTGTGCAGCTTCATCTATATCATTAACTGTTTTTGGTTTTTTAATGGTTTTTCTTGGTGATGAAAATTCCGATATCTCACGGTTATCGATTCTTTTTTTCTCTCCAGAAATGCGGACGACAGTGTTTTTAGATACTCCTGTGGCTGCAGCAACACGATCATTTACATTTTTAAATGGTATTGAAGGTCAATTAAAGTTTCCTTCTCTTCTCATAAACTCTATAACATTGGCTATTATTTCGCGAGATTGACTGTTAATCACGCGGCCTCTTAATTTGCTATTAAACTCCATTCTTAGGTTCTATTAAACTGTAATGAGCAAAAAACACAAACGAAAATAAAAGAAATGTTTTAGCGAAATTTACATCTGACATTTACGTCTGAATGAAATAGTGAAATACTTGATGCGCAGAGTGTACTTTCATTGCGTAAATCCGTCGGGATGCCTGTCAGTAGTGCTTTCTCTGTCTAGCCGTCGAAAGCCTCTAGAAATTTGATAAACTGTATCTACAAATTTGAGAAATAATTTCAGATTATACATTTACAAAGTAGGGGAAGTTTGGGTAAAATGACATACTTTTTATAAGAAACGGCACAAATATTTTATTTAAAAAAATACGAGATTAACTCAACATAGGATCTGTATATATTGCTCTTGCTTACATATGAACAAGTTTCATATGCATCGAAAGCCTACATATTTTTATAAATAAATGTTTATTTTATATTAGCACATGTGTCATTTTTTGCAATATTGGCATTGGACCCACATTTCCTGAGAGAACAGTTCATTACAAAAAATTCACGATACTTCTTCATCGTCACTAGCGTCAAAGGGATCTTCAGCCTCGCTGTCAAAATCATCAAAACGATCGGTGACTTTAAGGGTCACTTTTTGTCTTTTCGGATATTTTTCCCGGTTTTCACCTTTCTGTTTGATGTGGGACTCTTTTATTTCCTCTATATTCGGAGTTGATGTTAGAAATATGGGCCCTTGGCTTTTACATTTTCTTTTTTTTATCCCCTGTTCTGCTTTTGGTAGTGGCAATATTTCTTCTAGTGATACATTGTAACTACATTCTGCAATATTCTCTTTATCTATAGTCTGACCAGGACTTTTATTTTGGGACGGTGATGTATTTTCTTTCAGTGCATCATTGTTCCCCAGTGCATCATTGTTCTCCAGTGCATCATTGTTCTGTTGACCTAAATTCTTGGTGGCTCGTAATGGAATATTTTCTTGAGAAATTTTACGCGATAGTCCAGATTGGGGATCATCGACTTCATGCACTTCACAATGAGCAGCAACACTGACCTCAGCAGAAGAAAACATCCAATCGGGTTCACATACCATCTTGAAATTGCTTGATTATAGTAGCTGTAGAAGGGACCAAAGAAAGCTACGTCAAGAGGCTGAATCCGATGGGTGCAGTGTGAAGGTGTACAAATAATGATCACTCCTTTTTCTTTCGCATACTCTAATGCTTCAAAATTGTTATGGCTGGCATGACCGTCTAGAATTAATATAACCTTTTTATTAATGGTTACATTGGAATAATGGATAAAGTGAGCCAGCCATTTTAGAAATAAAGGTCCCGTCATCCAGCCAGAGTCTTGACAAAGCTGCAGGGTACCGATAGGGGTGCATCATCTGTTAGTTATGGCTTGGCATTTTTTCTGTCAAATATCATCGCTGGTGGAATGAAAGACCCAATCACGCTCATACAGCATACTGCGGGGGTGTGCACACCTCGTTCTGCGCTGGTTACGGTACCCACCTATTCCCGACCTTTAGGGCTGACGAAAATCCCCGTTGGATGTGTGAATGCCATACCCAAAGGCCTCAAAACACAAACGTCTGGGCTAGAAATATTGGGGATCGCATAGTATGTCCTTTTTTTTTTCAATGGAAACAACCGAAAAAACATACCTTACTATGCTCCAAGAAGAACTGATTCCTACTTTAGTGAGTTTATTCCCCAATAATTTGGATCCCAACTTATTTGACCAACGAATGTGGTTTCAACAAGACGGGGTACCACCACATTTTGCTCAAAATGTACGGACCTATCTTAACGAAGTGTTTCCAAATAGGTGAATTGGAAGAAGGGGCCCAATTGAGTGGCCAGCAAGATGACCTGATTTTACTCCAATAGGTTTTTTTTATGGGGATATCTAGGGACCAAGGTTTATGCCACTAAACCTAACAACATCGCCGAGCTTCAATAAAGAATCAGGGACGAAATTAGGCAAGTAACACCGGAAGTGTTATAAAATGTTCAGAATGCTATTTATAATCGATTAGGATATTGTCAGCAATAAGGTGGAGAGCACTTTGAACATTTATTGCAATAAAGTAGTTTCAGTAAATATTTCCTTATTTCATTTTTTTCCGACACATTGCTTATAACAAGTAACAAAAAAAATGTAATTGTATTTGTAATTGAAAAAGCTTTAAAAAAAAAGTTTGGGATGCCTATCAAGTTACAGAATTTGTTTCAGTTAGAATTTCCACTCTGTATTAGGTTTTCAGTATACGTTATAACGCAAACAAAGCTAGTGAGACAATTAATTTTTAAAGCTCCGAAAAAATATCGGTGACAAATCCTTTGGATCCACCCCTACTCTAGTATCTCACGTTTCGAGATGTTCCATTTTTAATTAATCATTCTGTACAAAAATTTGATGACCTGTAACCTATCTTCTATGTACTCTTTCAAATCAATAAATCCGAACGTACCCGTTGAATTATTTTCGTTTTTCTAGGCTTGCCGGGTAGTACCAGGGTGGTACTTAACCACTTGGATGTATCTACGCAGGTCAGTTTCCACATTCAATTACATTCTAATCGTCTAACACGATACTGTTTCCAGGCCAATATTCAACATAGCGCCCTGAACTACGAATCAGAAGACGAAATGATGGGCAGACTCCACAAAGATAAAGACAAACGCAACACGGCTCATTACAATCGAGAAGATATCAGGGAGCAGTACTGCATCACTGATAGGGGACTGGGAGCCTTAGAAACCAAGCAAAGCCTATTCGGATGCCTATCCGCGCACCAAGGCTCGTGTTCTAACCGAGGATCATTGCTGACGGCTTGCGTCAGGCAAAAAGTTCCTTCCGACGAAAATTTGTACGATTTGTACAAGAGGCATCCTTCCGAATATGCCCCGTACCCTAGAAGAAGCAGGTATTATCATATTTTTACTATTGAGATCGATTTGAATACTTCTCTTCATTTCTAGATACCCCTGGGGTCCTGTTATATCTGATATCTACCACTACGATGAAGATCTAAAGTCTTCTTATTTCAGAAGGAAACCCATTATTGATCCTAGTCGCTATACTTGGATGCCGTCTGATGATGAGTCCGTTAGAATGGAGAAACCTAAGTCTATTATTGAAAACAATTGCCACGATCGAGTCACTAATTCTTCTTCTGTCATATTACCAGGGTGAGCAATTTTTTTAAACCGTTTATATAGTGGGTTCATTTACTTCTTGATCTTCATTATTTGACATGCTATTCCAAGTCTTATTGACGTCATGTTTATTAAATAATTATTAACTCCTGTGTTTGATCTGTCGAATTTACCGCAACATGTGGTGTCTTCTAATGATTCCACTTGTGAACACCATTATATTATATTAGTTTAATAAATAATAATCATTACTTGTTTTTTGATGTTAATTTTGTCTCTAGGAAAAAGCATGTGAGTTTCGCAAGATCTCACACGTTGGCTTCTTTTGATAACGCTTTGTCTTCATTGAGCTATTCTACGGGACATTTAAATAAAATAACAAACAGTCAAGAAAGATTGTTGGACGTTCGGAAACCTGAAATCCAACCTATTATTACTAAGCAACCGGAACAACAAGATATGTTTTGCGGTAAGTGATAATTATAGTATACAATAAATGATTCAATAGCAATTTCAAGAATGTTTAGAATAAAATATAACATTCTATAACATATTTGTTTCAGAGAAAATCAAAAGAGTGTCCATGAAAACACAAGCTACACAGACAGAAGTGGGTCTAGGAAGAAAACCGTTACCACCACATATAAATTTAAGTCCAAGAACCATGCAAAAGGTAAGAAAACTACAATATAAAGCGTCTGTATTTATATCTAAAGCATTTATTTAGATCCGTTGTAAACCCTTCTTGAGTGATTTCTCGCTCAGCCTACTCTTTACTGCCGTTAAGCCTATGAAAGTAGAGTTCAAAAGGTCTATTTTATGCCTCTGTTCCATAAAATGCCTAGATTATTGACCAAACTTTATTCTGTGGGCAGCCACTAGGTGCATCTGCTAGTCTGCTTATTATAGACACCTCGAAACTTAATCTGATCATATTTTTAGGTAAAAATGGTTTCCCAAGGAGCTCAAACCAACGGTTTTCTAACCAACGGCAGAAAACTAATCAAATCCTTCTCAGAAGCCGGAAATAAGTTCGGAATATCTCCAATAAACGGCGAAATAAACTCTTTCGAACCAATTCCTGATCACGAACCTCTCCAAAGGACGCAATCCGATGAACCGCCACGATCACCATTCATCGTAGACAAGCCACCCTCCTTTTCCAACCCAGAACGTCTTCTACCTCCAGACAGCGAAACTTCTTCCATGACAAAATCCGATCACGAATCAGAGGACTCCACCGAATCTAAAAAAGAAATTTTTATAGATTTCAAACCTCAGGTGTCTCCTACTAAGGAGAAGATATCTAAAAGAACCTTGATGAAGGCCCTGTCTGACGGGGAGATACTTTTGGAGCAGAGGAGAGTCAGGATTACTGATGATTCTGTGGTACCGGAAAAGTCGATTCATTCGATTAGCCATGATAACATCAATAACGAGGAAGATCAGGATAGAACGTTTACTCCTTACTTCCAGAAGACTCCCATTCAAAACGAGGGTGTCTGTAAACCTTTGGAGGACAACATATATTCTTCAGTTGATAACGGAATGTACGGTCAAGATTCTATCGATGAAGATTTTCACGAAAATTTGATTTACAATAAAACTTATTTGAACAGGGAATATAACGACGAGCAGAGGATCAACATGGAAACCTGGTTGAAAGACGATTCTATAGTACCTTCCATCAGTTTTTTGCCACACGCTAAGTTATCACCGTTTACTTCAAATGATTCTTTAGCCAATGACGTCAGGTAAGTTATTTTCACATATTGCTTAGACATATATTTTTTTTAACAGAAATTTTATTAGATTAGTTAAATATTAAATTTCTCATATTTTAGAGACCAATCGGACGGTATCTGGAACGAATCCCAGGCTACTGTCCTCCAAGCGGACTCCGGTACTGATAACGGGACGGTACTGAGCAGTTCAGAAATATATTCAGCCACATCGCCGGTATCTGGCGCCACCTTAGCCTTAACCCCATCCTCGAAAAGGAAACACATGCTTATGATGCAACACCAACAGAGATCTTCCATGGATACCGAGATCCTAGACGAAGAAATTGCGGACCAAAATATAACCCTTCCAAGGAAGGTCGTACCTTCGAAAACGATCGAGCCTCCCAGTACTCTGTTTCCTCGGCAATATCTATCTGTTGAGAATCCGGTACCTATCAGAAAAAAAATAACGCCTGAAACGCCTATTGGATCCCCTCTTCCAGCTGTCGTACCTGATTTGTTACTTTCTAGAACCGATTCTTGTAGAACTAACACCGACGTATCTGAAAGTACCACTACTGATGATTATATCACTGCCAATTCTGGTACGGATAGCTCTAGAAAGAGTGGTTCAAACAAGGTAAGTACAAGTGTCAATGTCTTCAAAATTGTATATCAAAGTATAATATGTTTGCAGGGTACCGAGCTGTACGCGAACCTATCCCACCTGAACGACGGTTCCAGTCTGGAAAGCGCCCGCGGTTTGGACCTCCTGGGCGACGACATGGTGGTACCATCGTTCTCCCCTCCGGCCTCGATCGCGGGGGATTCCCATAGCCTCTGCAATACCCCAGTGCCTCAAATCCGCACCGGCCGATCCACTCCGTCCGAAGACACGAGCTCCTCGTGTGGAAGTTACAGCGTTGGTTCCACACCCGATCTGCTGGACAGATTTACTGAATCAGTGCCTTCAAGAAAAAAAAAAGTCGTCTGTCCCGCAGTGTCTGATGATGAACGCAGCGTACGTTATTCATCGTCAGGGTATTACGAGTCACCCATGGAAGATGAGTAAGTTTGTTTCTCTTTCTTTTTTGGGACGTCCATCTCATTTTCTCTGTTTTAGCACCACCTGGACCTCCCCAAAAACCGACAAACACCGGAGGTACAACAAAGACTTCACCTTAGAATTATCAAACAACCCCAAATCATATCTAGAAACATACTCTATTTTGAACAATTCCAAATCAAACAAACGCAATATCAAAGCCTCTCCGTCATCAGAAAAACCGAAACGATCGAAACCCAGGATGCGCAGCCCCATGCAAGGGAGCAGAAAAAGCAGCCAGCTGAAGAAATACCCGCACGTTCATTCGGCTGAGAAAGAGAACAAGGCCACGTCGGATGAATCAAGTTGCGATATCGGCGGAAAACATCTCAATAATCAAAATTCGCCGAAACGAAGCAAAAAGAACAAGGAGAATAATAAGAAAAAGTCCATGCCGAGGTCGCCTGTGGGCCAAAGAAATAACGCTGATAAAAAATCGTCTAGTTTGCCGAGCAGTTTGTCCAGAAAGAAATCTTCTAAGCCATCACCGAGAACTTCTTTAGTTCCTGATAACGTTCCAGTTGACAAAAAAAAGTGAGTAAAATAAACTCATACACCTATACATACTAGAGACATTGCTACGAGGTAAATTAAAACTATTTATCTTTACTTATCCTCCTGTACAACTGATCACTATGTAGTATAGCGTTAGTTATACCTCTCAGTATTTGTTAAAAGATTAAATAATGTTTACCAGACATCCCTGTCGCCAAACTCTATCTTAATTCTGTTGTCATACAGAAGGTTCGCTAGGGGTGCAAGCAACTCGTGGCGCTTGGGACCCAATTGTACAGGAGGATGAGGAAAGACGAATTATAAGATTGGCGGACTTACCTGTAAAGACAATCAATCTAGGAGGATGAGTTCAACCAATTTGGATTGATTTTCCTTACAATTTTTGTATTTGCAAGTATTTGAATATTCTAATTTTAATTCTAGCTGCTTTTGCAGTTCCATTGGCTCTCCGTCTTCCTTACAACGACATAGCCCTAAAAAAGTGGAAGACGCCACTAAACTAAAAGCTCTCTCTGCCGAATCCTTGCGCTCTGTTAGTCCAGGAAGCGATAGCGTCTTCTACAGCGATCCTAGCAGCCAAACGGTGGACCACCAAGTTCATTGTCTCCATTGCGGTAAAGAGGTGGACATCGTGACAACCGACGACCCAGATAAGAGCATAAGCAGTCTAGAAAATCAGGAAGAGATTGTGCAGCCACCAGCGGGGTTCGAGGATTCACCGAGGATAAAGGCTAGTGGACGATTGTTTAAGAAATTGGAAAGGCGAATAAGGTCGGAGGAGAGGAATTATTTGGAGAATAAGAAAAATCGGTATAAAACTGAGGTTAGAGCTAAGGTAAATCTAACATTCTAGCTAATAACCTAATATTCCTAATTAGGTTTAAATGGATATTTATCCAGTACTATTTTTTGATAAATTTTGAACATTTTAAACTTGCCAGCTTTCACTTTAACAAGTAAGCAAGTTTTTAAGAAGTACTTCTTCAAAATTTCAAAATGTCTTTGCTGCAGCTTGAACCCGTTTATTTCATTGTTATTTCCTTCTTATTCTACTACTTCACCTTCTAGTTTGGATGACTTGTTGCCTCTAAGTCTAATTGTTTTTTTTTTATAAACTATGCTGACTTTTTCTTCATTATTCTTATTTTTTTATTTATTTAAACATAAATCAAAATTTATAATTCTATGGACCTGGATACTAAGTCCCAAAAATGTTCTGAGGAGACTTTTCAGTGAGAAGGCCTCTTCTAGCTTGTTTTAATTCTATTTGTCAGTATCTTTTCAGTCTTTTACTGTTTATTCTTTCTTCCAATAGTGATTAAAGTAGTGTGACTCCAATCTTTGGTGATTCTTTTGGATTCTTTGCTGAATTGATTGTTAAACTGTTGAAATATGAGGGTATTGCTGTATCATCCAGAAAGCGCTTGCTATTTCTGCACCCATCTGACAATAAATATACTGGATTTGCTGGTACATTCCCTCAATTCTATGCCATATGTTCAGATTGGCATAATTATTATAGCTTCATCTATTAATATTTCATTTTCTATTAGCAATTTTGATTTTCTGCCTAGCAGCCAATTTAAATCTTTTATTCCATTTGTTTTCGGTTTTTATATATTAGGTGATATTTCTAAATGAGATTGGTATCTGGTATTTGACAGATATGGTCTGTGGAATTCAGTTTTTCTTATTCGTCTCTAAATAAAAAAAATTTTAAGCCCTACTAATACCGTATCTACATTTTTGTCAATTGGTACAAAACATTTATTTACGCAATTTTGGTACCATTGAGTGCTTTCTTTTATGTTATCTAGGTTACTCGCGAGCAGCACTAGAGCTGTTCCTGACTCTAACTGAACGTTCTTTTTTAACGATGCTTGTTGATCTGGAACAACTCCCATCAGGACAGGGCCTAGATAGTACAATTTCGTCTTAAAAACGTCTTTAAGACGTCTAGCATAACACATATGAGACGTCTTTAAGACGTCTTAGAAGACGTCTGATGTTACAAAAGGGGACGTCTTTGAGACGTTTTATTAATGGCTTATATTGGTATGTAGAGCTTAAAATAAGTCATAAATAAAACGTCTTTAAGAAGTCTTATTAATGGCTTATAATGGTCTTGTGAAGCTTTAAATAAGCCATAAATAAGACGTCTTTAAGACGACTTATTAATAGCTTATAATGGTCTTGTGAAGCCTTAAATAAGACGTCTTTAAGAAGAGTTATTTTCTTTAGCCATAACTGGATTGATTTTTCTCTTCTTCTTTGATTTGTAGTTGCCTCTATATAGCTCGGAAAAAGAAATTCAGTTAAGAGCATCTAGTCACAGAAAGTTATATGTTGCAAAATTTAGTAAAAACCAAAAGTACAATTATCTATAAAACAAAACAAAAAATTAATTTCTTAGAATTTTAAATCAAAGAATTTTTATAATCATTTAATGCAATATGAGCTATTATGCTTAATCGCCTACTTTTACAATTTTACTTTAACTTCACTCAATATGGCTATCTAATAGGGGGTTTTTGATATTAATAGTTCTCAAAATCTCCAGAAAAACAAAAAAAGATGATTGACGAATATCTGAATTAAATCTTATATTAAGATGTTTAGTTTTAAATTAATTTAATTATTTCTTACTTAGAAGAAACAGGATATTAATGTTCTATGTATATAAACAAATATTCATTTATTTTCGTTTTATATGGACTCAATCCTTGAGGATTATTTACCCAGCACTATTTATTTTTTCAAATTTAGTTAAGTGGAAAGGCTGCACCCTCGTGCCTCAGACTTCTGTCTGCCCTTTTCCACTGCACTTGATATTTAATTTCAATATTCTTCTACAATTATTACACTGAATATTTTGTTTAATTTTGTATACTTTTTAAAGTCGGATGATCACTTTTATACTAGATATTTTGTGATTTTTATGGGACGTCTGGGCTCCCGATTCGGAGACCGCCATTTCAATGTTGCCACGACGGTGTCCGAATGTAATGTTAAGTCAAACGTCAAAGTTCACTTAATTTGATTCTTCTTCTTAAATTTGAATGTAATCCGTGCAAGTTTCCGTCCGACTGAAAGACGTTTGTAAGACGTCTTAGAGACGTCTTTGACTAGACTAGAAGAATTTTTATTTATAATTTTAAAATATGTACATGTCATAAAAAGTATTATAATTCGACACTACCGAGTCTTCGTCCTTTCGTGTGGGCCCTAGGACCATGGTGGAAGCTTCCACCTATAAAACCTCTTTCTGACTTCTAGTTTGGTAAATATTGCAGCCCTCACTCCTTATCGGTATTATTGAGGGATTTTGGGTGTTTTGGGATCGGAAATGGGAAATTGTTATAGGGATATGTCGCGTTTTAGTTATGGTTTTGTCCCCTGAAAAAGCTAGGAAAAACAGGGTTGTCCTTCTATATTTAGGGGTATGTGGACCCTTCTGGATCTACGCTTAGTTATGAGCAAGCTCTCGGTTTTCGAGAGGTTGATTTTAATTTTGTTTTTGGCTAGATAAGGGACTAGTTTCCTGTTTATATGGATGTCCAGTGTCCTGAGGGCACTTTCGGCTGAATGATTACTTTTATACAGGCAGATGTCGGCGGCGTAAAGTGTTGTTTGTACCCCATTATTACCCATTGGCATATCATGGGTCATAATGGTGTATAAATGTGGCGAAAGTACTGAGCCCTGGAGCATTCCCGCTTGCGCAGTGAAAGGTCCTGTTATTGTGTTATTAATTTTAATGTTAAATTGTCTGTCCGTTATGTAAGAGTGAATTATCTTTACAATGTGTACGGGAAAATCATTCAAAGGCATTTTGTGAATTAGCCTGCAGGTCCAAACAGAATCGAAGGCCTTTTCGCAGTCAAGAGCGACAAGCACCCTTTGTTTGTTAAAATTTGTAGCCTCTTTGGCATGATGAACGATTCTCATTATTTGTGCAACGGTGCTGTCCTCTTTGAAAGCCATATTGTTCCTGCGGAATAAGTCTTAGTCTTTCCTCTATATTTTTGAGTCTGTCCAAAATTGTTGTGTCTACTATTTTTGCAATTGTGTTTAGCAGCGAGATAGGTCGATAGCTTTCTACATTTTTGGGGTTTTTCCCGGATTTTAAAATGGGGATAATATTTGCAATCTTCAGGCTACTAGGGTAGTATTGTAGCCTGAATACTGCATTTATTATGTAATTGAGTTGTATAACCCCCTTTTTATATAGATTTTTGAGTAGAATATTACTAATGTCATCAGGTCCTGGAGCTTTTCTATTCTTGAGTCGTTTGAGTACTTCCCCAACCTCTTTAGGAGAGGTCATAAAAGAATGTGGGACGTGTACTGGGTCCGAGGTTCTTAAGTCGTTAACCAAATTTTTGATGTTTGTTTATTGATTATTGTTTACAAAATTATTCGTGAAATTTGCCTGAAAAAAATCGCTGAAGGCCTGTCTCTTTTCATTCTCTGTAGTCACTAAGTTTTGTCCTTGGTTCAGTGGTTTTTTATACCTTCTCACCACTCCCCACGGTGAATTGTCCTTGGAATTAATTTCAGACAGGGTTATTTTGCCAGATGTTATTTCGGTGTTCGTTAATTAATAAGTTCGTGTGTTTGGCAATATCCAATAACCCTGTCTTTGAGCTTTCACATTAATATATAGATTTGAAAAGACGTCTTTAAGACGTCTTAAGTCTTTGAGCTCTCACATTAATACGTCTGAATTATGAATTTTGCAACACGTCTTATAAGACTTCTTGATAACGTCCTACGACATTGAGACCAAACCAAGACACAAAAAACGTCTTTCAGACGTCGTGTGCTATCTGGGGGGTTCAAACCGCATTCTGTCGAATGAAGATAGAGGCTTCTCAACACGTGCCGTATTGAAATATGAGAATTCCACTGCAGTTCTCTCTTGTCCCTCCCAAGCGTGCCCAAAACACTTGTTCGATAGCAGATGCACAGAATTCTTGACTTCATAGGGTTTCATACACCAAGAAAAGAAAGCTCCCATTATAGCCGAGAAACTCTTGTCTAAGTGATTATCGAATTTGTTCTAGTCAGAAGAGCGTGGAGCAAACACTTACCGAAACAAATTGCGACCCATGGCGAAATCAACCAACAGCAGCCAAGAGCAGCTGAAATCGACAGATTCTAGTCCCAGCGTTCTTCCTGGTGCTCCTGAAAATGAAGACGATACCGGTATATACGATGTGCCTTATTTAGAGGGTTGTTGGATACATATTGATGAGAGGGACGAAGTTATATCGAGAACTTCTTGCTCTAGTCCAAGTGGTGAGTTTTAGTGATTAAAATATGCAAATTTCCAACCTCAAACGAAATTGTTTAAAAAAAAATAATCAATATAATTTATTTTAGATAAACCGTCTCGAAAAGATTCGTTTTCCAGTACAGAATCGGAACAAGAATTTCGAAAAAAGTTTCAAGCCGTGACACATCGAATGGTTCATCGAAAATCTTGTCTAGAAATGTACAAACGTCAAAATAATAAGTCATTTGGTAAGTTGCAATTTATACTACGTTTTTTTTTATTAAATTTGAATTCAGAGTAGCTGTGACAGTCAAACATCGCTCGTATAGACAGAAAGACACTCCCAAGTAACAATTTTAAGACACTTTAAATTTATTCAGGTTTTAAAAGTGCTTTAATATGTTCAATAAAACGATATTGCTTTTAAAGTTACCTTAAGCTAACCTAAAAGTTCATAAAGACCACTTATTCCAACGCAAAGATTTTAATGCCCTCTTAAAATTAATGTTCTATCGATTTTATACTGGTTTTATAATACACTTGACATTGGCTATTTTAAAACTAATTTGCTATTTTAAAGGATTTAAAAGCAAGTTGGTTTTAAAACAATCCAATTTGAAACAAATGGTTTTAATGCAATTGTATGAAGTTTTTTTCATGTATTTATTAAAACCTATTAAGAAAACTATTTTATTTTAACCTATATACTTAAAATTTCACATTAAAACAAAAAACATGATTTTTACCTTATAAAGAATATTTAAAGGTTTTAATTTGGTCAAATTGGTTAAAAGAAATACCTTTTGGATTTTTGATGATTTTATAAAAACTAATTCTACCCCCTCCATATTCGGAGAAAACGCCATCTTCTCAATAAGCTAATTTAGTGAACCATGTACCTACTTTATACGACAAATAATTTTTTTTAGTGTTTAGTTCAATGACGCATCAGATCTACGCTAACTAGATTTTTGAATTAGGAGATTCAGGGTGTTTTTCAATATTTTGTATTTTTAATGGGAGCCTCTAATCTTTTCGTTTGTTAAAGTTTTTGAAATCGGTAAAGACATTGTTAAATTAGATCACAAATTGGAAACGGAGCTCAAGTATATGCAAAACTTACCTGTTTTTTAATAAAATTAGACACATAAAGATGAAAATGCACTAAATGCAGCAAAACGGCAAAATTTGTGAGGTTAGGATTCCATTCTTTCGCAAGACCACTTTAAATCAATAAGGCCACTCACACTAAGTAATCAATCGTCTGAGTACGATACGGATACTCCACTCGAGTTGTACAGTATAATTTTTCTACAGCCCACTGACAGAAATCTACAAATTTTAAAAATTATTTAAGGTTATTAATATAACTAATTTAAAAATAATTTGAAGAGACTCCGAAGATATTTTTGTTACGCCTATTTGTCACCCAAATAATAGGGATTAAAATTCCAGAATATTAGTTAAAAGATAATTGATCTTGTTAGTATTTATCGTCTTAATGTTTAGTAAACCACACGTTCAGGACCCCCCGAGACATAATATAATCCAATTTTCATTTGAGAATACTACACCAGATTATAAATTTCTTTTTCTACGTTCATGCAAAAAACAAAACTTTATTGAACTATATTTAGTGAAAAAACTGGTTCTTTATTGCACTAGTGCAATAAAAATTTTGTTGCACTCATCTGTCATTTTACTACAGCGTTTTATGATCATGACAAACATAAATATTCAAATCAACGCCAAATATTTAGTCCATTTTCATTTTCTGTGTTACGTTTTAAAAACAATTGCATATTTTATATTATTTTCAATCATTTAATAAATAAATTAATAAAAAAATGTATTTTATTAAAAATGTCATTACAAATTATGAACACAAACGTAAATAAATGCCTCAAACAAAGGTACACGATCATGGCTACTATGATTTGGATAATACAACTGCAGTTCTATAAAACATTTTTTAGTTTTTGCATGAACGTAGAAAAAATATTGTATGCAACTCGTGCAAAAAGTATTTATTGCACTCGACGTGTGCAATAAACACTTTTTGCACTTGTTGCATAAATAAATATTATATCCCAGATTTTTTCACAGGAGATGATTTGATAACACTACGTGAAAACATAAAAAATGAACTGTCGCAGCACATAACCTTAAAAAAATATTAATTATTATTATAGAAAGTAAAAATAAAAAAAGACGGAGTATTATCTATTAACGAACGAGACTAGGTATAAACAAAATGCACTCTGTATTCAGTAAAAAGAATTCTTATTTATAAATCTGAACCATGTGCATGGTTTCTACGCATTCATTCAAAATTTATGAGCGCGCTATTTTAAGATTCCAACGTTGTAACTATGAAAATAGCTTTTTCATAATAGCTACAAGTAGTTATTCAAACACATGAATCAAGTTTTTATTAAAAAATGTTCGGTAAGTTATATTTTCATCGATATTGATAAATAAGTCAATTTTAGCTAACATATTATAGATGCTTATACTTTCAAAAATAACTATTAATTATCGCAAACATAAATTGTTACGTTAAAATAACAAAACATTAAGTTTGAGGTGATGTAAATTTTTGTTTTATTACATAAATATCCGAAGAATTACAAGGACTTTTCACGGAAATGGCTGCATCTTTAGAAAATCAAATTAAATGCGGCGATTTAAAATTGAAATTGGAAGAAATTTTGAAAATAATGTTGCTGATTTGGTGTCGAAAAAAAGCGGCGTTACATGGTTCGTAAAGTAGCTTAAAACAAACACTAACAATCTGTTTACATTAACAGTTTTTAAAAATTTATAAACACTAACAATCTGTTTTTATTGTTACACTAACAGTTTCTGTTTGTTATACCTAACATTTTAAAAAATTCTGTTCTGTGACAACTAACTCTTACTTGACATGTTGACAATTGACAAATGTTTGTCATACATTTTATTGCAAATTAAATTATTACGTTGTTTTAACATAACAGGTAGGATAAATAGGAAAGTTACAAATAGAAGTTTTACGAGTTTTGATTTTCTTCAACAACCTCCCTTGAACGTTGCATTTACGTTGTATAGTAATGTCATTACGTTTCCGTAAAACAACATCGCCGAAAGGCCTGGCAACATTATGTGCTAGCTGAGCAATCATTTTCTGAAATTTAGGGGCATTGTTGAGTTTCTGAATAAGGCGTTTATGTTCGTCAGAATTATCAAGTTCTTAAGTCCGCTTAGATCTACAAAATGATCAACTTTTTATGATTGATTTGTTAACAACTATTTCAGTGAATAACAATCCAAATAGCAAATTTACCACATTTGCAATGAGTTATAGTAGTAGCGACTTCGTTTACGAACTTATGCGCTCGATCTACTCTTGACTTCACGATGTGAAGGTTATGGCCTCTATATATATAATCTTTATGGTCACGTTATAACATTTAAAAAAGTCTGTTTCGTGACAACCGGCTCTAATCTGACATTTGAACAGTGACAGTTAACTGTTGACAATCGACAAATGTTGGCTGTCAAACTTTGTTGACCCAATAATGACACAATAGGTTCTTTCGTTTGTCCCACTATTCTAGGAATGAACTACACCAACGGACACTAAACCTTTCGTTTGTCCCGGTGTAAAATTCACTAAACCTTTCTGTCAACGATGTGGATATTTTCTCCACCAGCTATTTAACAGGAGAGAATTAAACTCGACATGTGTGTAAGAAATAAGGAGAAAGTAAAAAGGTAAACAAGGTGGACATTTCACCAATAGCAAACGAAAGAACCTAATGTAAAGCGAAATATTGGTGTTTGAGCAAAAACTGTTATATATTTTTGTGACTTTCAAAAAAATAGACGTGCACTATTAAAAATTGAAAATTAATCCCCGTTTTATGTTTCTAGATTGCGATAAGACTGTCGTGGTGCACAGAGAGTCTGGTGAATTCGGTTTTAGAATACACGGTTCGAAGCCCGTAGTGGTATCTGCCATAGAACCGGGAACTCCAGCTGAAACATCAGGCTTAGAGGTGGGAGATATCGTTCTATCAGTCAATGGAGTAAGTGTGCTCGACAAAAATCACTCAGAGATCGTCAAAATGGCTCATGCTGGTAGCGACACGCTCAAAATGGAGGTAACAATAATAATTATACTTCTTGTATTAAAAAAAAGATAACTTTTACTAGTAATTTCCCAGATAGAAAGAGCCGCAGAAAATGTCTCTATCATTTTATTATATTTTAGGTTGCCAGAACTTGCTATGCGCTTAGTCCACAAAAAGAGGAGGATACTTCTAAAATAATATTTAGCGGTTATCTTTGGAAATTGAGCGGGTACGCCAGCGGTAGTTCAAGTAACAGATGGCTGAGGCGATGGTTTTGTTTGAAACAAAATGGCTGCCTTTATTGTTATAAAACTGACATGGTAATTTTTTGACAATGACCTTTTACAAAATGAGGATTTTAATAAATGCTATCAATCCTATAAATATTTACATATTCATTTTTGCGATTTTTTGCAACTTTGTTTACGTCAGTATGGATAAGTAGTTTTTATTGAACCGCCTGATATAAATACCGGTTTACACTAAGACAAAGCCACGTTAATATCTTTAATTTATAAAGCGATTTGGATCAAATTTGGGACAAACCTACTAGACATAATTTAGAATTGAGAAAAACAAACAAAATGGTCGACTTCAGGTTTTACTGCAAATGCTATTCAGTTTGATTTTTTAAATGGACCACTCTGTATATTATATTTTATTTTTTTTGAATCTACAGTTCCAATTACATATGACAGTTTTTCCAAATTTTCTTTTTTCTAAATAAATAAAAAACAATTGTGCATGGTCTAAAACCTAAAATGCAACCATCGGATATCAAATTTTATGAGTCGTACACGAGGTTTCTAAAAAATGAATGTACTTTACTTTTGACCAAAAATCAATTTTTTGATAATTCTTGTACACGCCTCATAAAATGGTTGTATTTTAGCTTTTAGACCATGTACAATTTTTTATGAAGAATACATTTTTTTAATAAAACTAATATTAAAAAAGTTTTCCATATGTATCCAACTTACGTACACTGGAAAAAATGAAAATGTGACAACACTGCATTTGTAATGGGCGCGTTCACTTTCATTTTTGAATGTGAATTAATTATATATTTATAAAGATATTAAACTCTTTTGTCTGGTGGTACTTTTCCCGTTAAAATATTTTTGCTAGAAGTAAGGGAATTCCCATAAAATTCTTTCAGTGACTCATTGCGTCAGAAAATCCCTAATTCCGTTCACGTCTCGTATCGGTTATGCTTAAAGACGGCGAGGTTGTCGGAAGTATCCCTAATATAGCATTTCTGCATTTATATATGTAATTTAAATAGTAAAATTCCATTATTTTTCTAAAAATCGTGAACTTATATTTTCAGATTTAAAGCTGGGAGCTTATTTTTTACTTTTTAATTAAAACAATTATTATAATCGAATTAAATTACGGGTTTTGAGCTTACATTAAATTGTAATTAGATGAAACAAAATGGATTCTATGTATTTTGAGGTGATCTTTTCGAAAAAAGGCAAAACAAAATGTAGCAGTTTTTCGAAAGTGCCGAAATTTTGGTTTTTGTCAATTTTTCAATTTTTCGCAGGCGCATGTCGGAAATAAATCAATATTTTTAAAACGCAGTTTACGACATTTGAAAGCTTAGGAAAAATGCTAATTTATATGTCTCTTGAGAAATTTTGATCCGATGCACCGTTCTCGCGGTATGGTCGATTGAAATTTGTTTAGTATTTTGAGGCGACGAAGGTCGAAAACACTAAATTCTTTAGAACATTGTTAAAAATTAAGATATTTGAAAAAATAAAAATGCGTTTTGAACTTAAGGGATGTGGCTAGTGATTCCCAGAAGAGGGCAAGAGAAATCCCAAAATTTGGCATATGGCGGAAGGGCAAAATGCACCGCGGTCCTAATTTCATTGTTTGCCTATAACGGCCAAACTATTTGAATTTTTTTAATGCCACTTACAAAGCTTACTCTTAAATGTGAAATCTTATGTATGTGTGTGAATTTCACCGACATCGGACCATAATTGGCTAAGATATCAAACAATTAAATTAAATTAAATTTTTTTCGAAAGTTTGAAGTGGCACAAAAATGCCAAAAATGCACCCAATGGCTCAAAACTTTTTTTTTTGAGTACTCTGTTGTGTCTAGAATACGATTACATTACGGAAAATTCTGCAAATATATTTTATCTAATTTTTTGACCACTGTTCATTGAGTGACGACCAAAAAACACGTTTTTTGAGAAAAGTTGCCTAAAATTGACAATTTTTAGTTTTTTTGTCTGAAAATTAAACAAACCCAAATTTCATGTCTTCTAAATGTGTATACAAAGTTTAAAGTGTGTACGTTTCTTCTAAGTTGTAGAATTCTCCCGACAAAAGTCCCATTACACGCGTTCCGCGGGATCCAAAACTCGTGTATACACTACATTACTGTAATTTGATTTTTTTGCGTTTTCCAGTTTTAAATTTCTTACATATCTAAACTTATTAGGCTTAAAATTTATTAAATTGTATTTTACTGACTTGTTATAAGACGTTTCTTGAGTTTTGTGCAAAATATAGAATTACCAGATATTAGCGAACAAAGAGCAAGCTTATCACCAAGTTGGAACTTACACTCAGGCTTAGGATTAATTTCCTAACATTTTTAAAGTATACCTATTTGTGTATTTATTTGTGCTCTTTTCGATGGCGAAGTTAGTTTTTCAAATATATTTTTTTTGTTAGATGTTTTCGGAAAACCCGGAATTAATCATATGGGAAAAAAATAAAAAAAAAACTACGCCTCTGGTTTCCTGCGAATTCCCGAAAAATTATGTCAGATTTCGCCGCGGGACTTATTTTATTTGAGAGCCAACAAAAAATACGCAACTTCTCTCATGGGCACATATGTCTAACATTTATAATTTCGCCACAAATTCATCGCAAATTTCATGTCCATGGTTCCGATCAAAAAAACGAAAAAACGACTTTTTGGTAAAAGCACTTCTGGCGGCGAGAAATTCGCCATTAAAACTACCTGTGCAATGAATTTCCGAACTATTTTTGCCTCCTCTTTCGAATGATGCATTTATTTTCACTATTGGAATGATACTTGCCCAGATAATTAGCATTTTTACAATGGAAAATTCTGGAAAATCCGGTTTTTCCTAATTTAAAAAAAATTGAAAAACTGCTACATCTTTTTTTTCTTTTTTTCGGAAAGATCACATCAAAATACACAAGGTCCTTTTTGTTTCATCCAATTACAAATTAATGTAAGCTCGAAGGGGCTTTTTTTCGTTATTTAATTGGACTATTATTACTCAGGCTGAAAATTAACCAGACCATAATCAAAAAGTAGAAATTTGATTTGCAATATTTATCTGGTAAACGTGGCAACGTTGCATTTATTTCTAGAAGTGTGTGTAGACAACACTATTTAGAAGCACTTACAACGTTGTCACGTTTACCTGATACATTTTCTCAAATAAAATTTCGATCCGGTAATATTCAGCTTGAGTAATTCTTATTGTTTTTATTAAAATTTAAAAAAATAAGGCTTCCAGCTTTATCTGAAAATATAAACACATTATTTTTAAAAAATAATATATTTTTATCATGTAAATTTCTTTAATAAATGCAGAAGAGGAATGGTGGTGCAATGATACATCCGACAACCGCGCCCTTTTAACTATTAACCGATACAGGACCTGAAGGGAATTAGGGGTTTTCTGACGCAATGAGTCACTGAAAGAATTTTATGGGAATTCCCTTACTTCTAGCAAAAATATCTTAACAGGAAAAATACCACCAGACAAAAGAGTTTAATATCTTTATAAATATATAAATAATTCACATTCAAAAATGAAAGTGAACGGGCCCATTTGACCTGTAGATTCCAAAAAATACAAAATATTAAGGGTCATCCATTTAAAAAATTACATTTTCGGAAAAACTGGAAGTCAGCCATTTTGTTTAAGTATAAGCGGCAATTCCTAATCATACCTAGTTATGATTATTTAAAATTTTATCCAAATCGCTTGATAGGTAAAAGAAATATTAATGTGGCACTAGTCTCATTGTCACCCGGTATACTTATACATTTTATACAGTACTTGAACCAACTGTGATTTGTAGGATAAACACCCTGTAGATGTTATGATGCTGCAAGACCAAGAAATCCAACGAGTAGATGCCGACCAAGAGAATATTTCCAAACCCCACGTATTCGTAGTTCAAAAGCATGACGGTGTTCCCTTATACCTAGCCGCAGAATCAATTAGTTTAGAGGAAAAATGGATAGAGGAGATGAACAAATTAATGCAGGATAACAAACTTTTAATGGACGGTTTTTTGGAAAGGACGAAGTGCAATCTGACGATGTCTCCTTGTTCGATTAAAGAGCCCGACTGTTTTGGGTATTTAGTTAAACTGGGAACGCAATGGAAGAGTTGGAGTCGAAGATATTGCATTTTGAAAGACGCCTGTCTTTATTTTTATCAGGATGCTAATGCGAAGAGTGCTTTTGGTGAGAATTTTCGCTTGATTAGACAATTTTGAGATTTGTTGAGTTGAGCAATGTGCCATAGAAGTATTATTTATTATTTTCAATAAAAGTCCTTTCCAGTTGTAAATTGAAAAGTATCAAAAAACGCTTTATTAGAAACTGTAATCAGTACAAACAAAATATGAAAAAAAGGTCATCTTAAAATAAATGTCATTTAACTGTCAAGTGTCATTGAAAATAGACCATACATTACTAGACATAAACACACTAGAGTTTACAAGCTAATTCGATTGTCTCAACAGCCTCCCTCAATCAAATGTTCCTATAAAATAAGTACAAAAAAATATATTCCAAAATACATCAATATTTTGTTTAAAAATAAGAGGCAATAAGTAACCAGACGTTGATTTTCTGTCTGTTTGGTTTCCAGCCCAGTCTGAGTCAGCATATCCAATTAACCTATCAGGGCAGTTTTTGCTGTAAAATAATTCAAAGTTTGCAGCTCCTTTAATATATCTTAGTATACGTTTTAAACATATCCAAATCTGTTCAGAAGGATTTTCCTGAAATCTACTGCAAATATTTATTGAAATACTAAGATCAGGACGAGTACCCACCATCAAATACATAATGCTTCCTATCAATTCACGAATTGGTTTCTTTTCTTCCATGTTCCCTTGCAATATGTTCACTTCCAACTTTGAATGCATGGGAGTTTTACTTTCTTTACTTTTAAAATATCAGAAATATAACGTTTTTGACTCAAGTAAATACCATTTTCTGTTTTTCTAATGGTAATTCCTAAAAAGGTTTCCATTTGCCCAAGATCATGCATTTTGAAATTTTTAGTTAACTGTGACTTTACATTATTAATTCTTTCCTTATTATTTGCCACTAATCTTGCTTTATATTTTGTAATATTTCCTTCTTCATTTTTCTTGATTCGAAATACCCATTTTGTGTCAATTATTTTTGCAAGTTTAGGTTTCTCTATTTCTGTCCAAGTGTCATTCATTCTTAGTAATTCCATTTCTTCTTCTATAGCATGTTTCCAAAAGTTGAAATCTTACCTACCTTTTACTTCTTCAAAGCTTCTTGACACATTATCTACATATGCTTCAGCACTTAATGCTAAATATTATATTTCCTGTTCATCCAGGTAATCATTTAAGCATTGTGGTTTTTGTTTTCTTCTATTACTCTTCCTGGGAGTTTCTTCATTTTCTTCGTCTGCTTCAGTAATTTTTTCTTTGACTTCTTCAGTCATATTTTCTTCCATTTCAATTTCTTCATGAAGCGTTTCTTCTAACTTATCATTTTCATCTTGTATTTTCAGCCCAACAATTGTAATTTCTTCGGTATCTGATGAATAATTTTCAATGTGGTTTATATTTTTCTTTTCATTAAATATGACGTTCCTTCCAACAATTATTTTTCTTTTAAATGGATCCCACAATTTATAGTCATTATGCGTGTACCCTACCATAATAGTAGTATGAGCCTTAGACTCGAATTGTCCGATTTGTTTTTCTTTCGGAATGTGGTCATAAGCTAGACATTCAAAGATTTTTAAATTTTGCAAATTAGGCTTCTCAAAAAAAAACTTCAGTCGGAGTTTTGTAATTTAAGGCGGAGATTGGGCTTCGATTAGTAATGTACGTACCACATAGCACTGCTTTCCCCCATATTTCCTTGGACAGTTTTGACTCCAATATCATTGCCCTAGCTTTTTCTATCAACGTGCGGTTGAACCTTTCAGGAGTCCCATTTAACTCTGAGTTATATGGTATAGTAAGCTTGTGTTTGATACCGCTAGCCCTGTAAAAACCTGAAAATTCCTTTGAACAATATTCACCACCGTTATCATTACAAAGAAAATTAATTTTGTTATTAAATTGACTGGTAACTAGTGCCTCAAACGCTTTAAAGCATTGCAAAACTTCACTTTTTCTTTCAATTAAGTAAACCATAGCAAAATGTGTATAATTATCTATAAATGATACAAAGTAATTTTTATTGTCAAAAGTAGGAGGTGAAATTGGACCACAAACATCGCTGTGTATTAATTCAAGTACTCTTTTACTTCTTTCATTAATTTTCTTTTGAAAAGGCAACCTCGTACTTTTGCTTTGTATACAAATTTCACAGTTATCTGTGTTAACGGTTTTATTTAAGTTTAAACCATCAGCTATGTCAGAATGTTTTAACATACAATTTTTAGATAAGTGACCTAACCTTCTGTGCCATAAGTCGAAGTTAGTATTGTTTTCACACAAATTAATTTTTATTTTATTTAATTTAAATTCCAAAATATATAAGTTGTTATTTCCAATGCCCTTGGCTATAAGTTTATTATTTTTATAAATAAAAACTTGGCGTTCTTTAAAAATAATTTGCAAACTTGTCTTTTCCAACTTTCTTACAGATAGTAAGTTGTGAGCTAAATTTTTAACATATAAAACATCTTTTATTTCAACAGTTTCGCCTAATTGCAAAAACACATCAATTGAAACTATATGAGTACAGTTTAAAGTTTTATAGGCTTTGGCTATATTTATTAAAATATTTTGTTTAAGTTTACATATTTTTGAAAAGATATTTATATCGTTTACCAGATGATCTGTAGCGCCGGAGACTATATACCATTTAACTGTCCATTTCATGAGAAGTGTTAAAAGCAGTTGCAGAAGCTATAAATGCTATGCTTTGACTTTCTCCATTATCCCTTTCCGTATTTGATTAGCCTGCTTTTTAAACCAACATTGGTTTCTCATATGTCCTGGTTTTCTGCAATTGTGACATACAACTGTTTTCCCATTAATCGGCAAGGATTTCCAGTTAGATTCCTGTGCACATACATGTTGTCTTCTTTTCTGAGTGTAATTCTTTTTATAATTGCTTGCTACTGGCATATATGAGTTTGTTTGTACACTAATTTTCTTAATTTCATAGTCCAACAATTTAGCTTTAACAAAATCTAATTTTAACTTTGAGTCCATAGTTTCTAATGCTGTAACGATTGTATCTGTAACTCTTTGGCAATGTTAGAAGATGACACACAACATCAATTTCCTTATGGGTAGCACCTCCAGACTTGAGTTCTCTTATTGTTTCTTCAAACTTCATAAAATGCGATTCCAGTGAATCTCCTGCCACTTGTTTTATGGTGAGCAGTTTCTTTCTTAAATATAATTGGCTAGCTATACATTTTCTTTGAAAAACCGACTCTAATGCCTTCCACATCTGAAATGATGTTTTTTTGTTTTTAACATACTCAAGATGCGAGTTTGAAATACACTGTACAATTATTGATTTACATTGTTTGTCCATCATCGGGTTCTGTATTTTCTTGTTCGATCCTTACTTTTACATTATTTTGATCTACTATTATCTCCATTCTGAATTCCTTCAAATGGTTTAATTCCAATTTTTTCATTGTGTAGTCCAGCCATTTTATTTTGTACTTGGTGCCTCGTGTAAAAATATTTTTTTGAACTTTTTACAAACCTTCTATGTGTATTCTTTTTTATACTGGGCCCATAACCTGTTGAGTTGAGCAATGTGCCATAGAAGTATTATTTATTATTTTTAATAAAAGTCCTTTACAGTTGTAAATTGAAAAGTACCAAAAAAGGCTTTATTAGAAACAGTAATCAGTAATCAATAAATGTCATTCAACTGTTAAGTGTCATTGAAAATAGACCATACATTACTAGACATGGACACACACTAGAGATTACAAGCTAATTTGATTTTTACTTCATGAAACCCTTATGTGAACATTTTATTTTATTCTGTATCCAACCGTAGACACTTTCTTATTGAGTTTCATCTATAATGTAGACTAGTATTGAAATCATATCCACTCTTGTTGCACAAACTACTATTTTGTATGACATGTGAGCAGACGCCCCACTGTCCCTTATTCAGTAGTAAACCCAGACATTTGCAAAATTTACTTCTTCATTAACTGCAGTTCGAACTGTTTTTGTGTAAGCTACACTACCATTTTGCTTACTGTTATTTTCTTTGTTATAATTCGATTTTTCTCTAATATTTTCTCCGCAACTCCTTGAAATATTTTCTTTTTTTTCTACAGTTATAACATACAACATTCTAAAACCTTCCTTCAAAGAAACAGTATCAGCTTTTTTATATAACGTTGAACTTTTCTCTTCGTCCAATAGTCGAGCAGTGAGATTAGTCATGCTTGCCGAAAATTTCTGTATTTTAATGGTAAAATACTATAATGATTTTCTCTACTACATCAGCATCACTCATTAACTTACCAGACTTTTTTACATTCTTAGCTAGATTTTTCACTTATTTCGTTATATGTTAAGCTATTGGATCAGTATTACACATTTTGTATTGATGAAACTTTTTATGAATCTAGAGTTTATTTACAATATCTTTAGTCTTCTCAGAATTTACGGACTAGCTTAATTTGGTCTAGATGCATTGTCAGTGTCTGAAGGAACGTTGCATCATTTTTGTACCACTGCTCTTGGTATGTTTGAAGTTCTGGTAACTTTATGGTTCCATCAGCTATTCCCCAAAACCCTGTAGTTTTAAGAAATTTCCACTGTAGGTAGTTTTGATCCAAATTTACTAATACTGAGATCAATCAACTTGTCTGCTACTTTTTTTTCTAGGTGCGTACACAATATAATAATATCTCCTTCTTTTTGTAATACTTTACGTCTTTGCTAGATGCGTATACAATGATATCTCTAAAAGAAAACTATACACAAAAGCGACACAAAACTTGCAAATTTGTTTGCAATAACAAAGACTTGTATCAAAAACTCTTTAATCAAAATCTGACCTTCTCATAAAATTTTAATATTTGTGTTGTAGGAGTGGCTTATTTACATGGTTATAGAGTACAACAATATTTGTCTGGGACAAAAAAGTACGCTTTTGAAATCATACCATCAGATTCCAGTAAAAAGCATTATTATTTTCATACAGATTCGGATGCTGACAAAAAACGGTAAGTAGGCACTTTGCACTTGTATTGAAATGGTTGTCAATGGTAGCCAACATTGTCATTTTGACCCGAAGACTTAGTAGCTTTCTTTTATTTGCCACTCGTGGTGGAATAACACAATACAATAATAGTCTAGTAAGACAATGATAAACAAAATCAGTCCCACATAAAAAAATATATTATAAAAATCAATTCCATATAAACTCAATCCCATGTAAAATCGATTCCACAGAAAATCAACCCCACATAAAATCAATCCCACATAAAAGCCATCCCATATAAAATTAATCCTGCTTAAAATCAATCCCACACTTAATTAGATTTATGTGGGATAGCAATAAATTATTGTGTTATTTAAATTGATTACTAAACACTTCCCTTTTTTCACAAAATTATTTTTTCCGGGTCAGCCTCAGCACAATGTTGGCAACTCTAAACAGATCTGCATCCATGGGCGTATACAGGTGGGAGCAGGGGAGGGCAGCTGCCAGCCTATATATTACAATAATGTTAACAAAATCTTATTGGGAAAAACAGAAGAAACTACGTAAAATATTTTCGATTTAAGGTACCGAGGTGGGAAGAGTTTCATTCCTGTCGTGAGATTAGTTAGATCACTGAGACGCGAAGCGTCGAGGTTAGCTATGATCTCGAGACAGGAATGAAACTTCCTACCGAGGTTTGTATACTATTTTATTTACAACCATCATATTTCGATCAAAGTTAATAAATCTCTGTTTCGTTCTGAACATACCTAAAATATTACATTTAACGACAAATTACCAAGCGTTCGGTTTTCTCAGAATAATCAAGTAAATATATTGTTACTGTGATTAGGGGGTAAACAACTGTCACCAATATAAATAAATGTCAGATAAAGCCGGATATTAAATTCGCGAATAATAAATATCAATAAGTAGTTTGTTGTATTTTAGTTCATTGTTGTTTTTATTGTTTGCCATTAAATAGGTATTATAAAATTTGTCAAAAAAATGTTCTATTTTTTTTTAAATATAAAAAATATTCATCTAGAATAGATGAAATGAGGGCGGGAAGTTAGGACGGGAAGTAGAGGTATGTAATGTGACACTTCCCAACCTTCAATGACGTTAGTAATGACAACATTACATATATGGTTGTAAATAAACAATTTTTGAATACCTGTTTCCAGTTCATACTGAATTCCATTCGATCAAAGACGTGGATGTTTGGCAAGATTCTGTCTTTTATGTTTCAACCCCCTAGGAAGGGTAGATATTACCATTAAAATCTTAAATGGGAAGGGGAGTCAAGTAACACGTCATTTAAAAGTAATTTTTTGAACAATTCAACAATATGACTAGTAATTGCCGTGATTTTAATTTTAATTTTAATTTTAGCTGGATAACAAACTGTTAAAGTGTGACACTTCAGTTGAAAGCTAATTTAATGTGTATCATAAATTTGTTAGTATTAAAGTTTATGTTTCATTAAATTATGTTTTGTTATATTGTGAATTAAATTACTAATAAAATTCGCTTTCAAATGAAATGTCACACTTTACAATACGTAACATTTTTTATCCCGCTAGAGGGGATTAAAATCAATAGTAACGCAATGAATAGTCATATTGCTGAATTCTTCATAAAATTAACCTTTAAAATGATGTGCTACTCCACCTTCTTCCCATTTAAGATTCAAATATATCTGCCCCCTCGGGGTAGAAATAAATTGAGTAAAAAATTATGTTACATTAACTATCAGGACTAACTATTTATAGTTGAGTAAATAAATATACAGTGTGTCCACTTATTATTAACTTTACGAAAAAAAGTTATTCTTCATAAAAAGTTCTGTAACCTAAAATTCAAACATGAGATATTAAATTTTTATAATAGTATACGAGGTATGTAAAATAATATGAATTTTGCTGAAGAGTAAAGTACTTTTATTTGTGACATACCTCGTACCTATACTATTGTAAAAATTTGATATTTGATGGTTGCATTTTAGGCTTCAGGTCATGCAGAACTTTTTATGAACAAAAATGTTTTCCTAATATTATTAAAAAAGTTACCCATATCTGCGTACTTAATTAAGTGGACACACTACATATATCAGACCCCTTTTTGGTAAAGATATAATATTAAAATACGGTACTTTTTGTTTGAATTGTTGTGCTCATTTCTATATTTGTTTTCTCTTCGTCCTCTGTCTATTGCATAAAAATAAGTGTAACACAAAATAGGTACTCAAATAATGTTCCCCTTGGATAAATTCCTGCGTACGCCCATGCCTGAATCTGAATAATTTTATTGCGTATAAAAATAATTATTTTATTCTAGATGGATAGCAGCATTAGAATATTCGATAGACAAATGGATGAAAATTTAATGACGATACAAAACTTAGATAATATTTTATGAAGAATTTGAAAGAAAGACTACCGTGACCACACACACCAAAATATATTTGAATTAAAACTAGCATTTTATTGATTGAATAATAAAGTATTACTTTGTAAACGTATTTTTTTTCTACCAAAATATTGTTAAACAAAAACAAAGAATTTAATGAAAATTTCTGTATCAATTATCTAATGAAGTATCAATTTCAATAACTAGTGAACTCCTAATCTCGCTATCAGACGGTAGATGGCGCAATAAACAAATTTTGATTTTGAATTATTTTTGTACAAAAAAATAAATATTCAAATTATATAATTTAGTATCGGTACATACCTAAACAACATCAAAGAAGAAAAGACGCTTATAGTAGTTTATGACAACTCGTAGGATTCCAAAAAAGCACTTTTCATAGATTATTTTTAATTAGAATGTGAATATTTCTTTTATAACTAAAATAGCTGTGATCTATAAGAATAAATTATTTTTCATTAGCTCATTTTTTAGAGTATATAGCGTAGTCGGGCTAACAAAAGTCAAGTCCAGCTTTACAATCAAACAACAAAAAAAGGACATATTTTTTAACTGAGCATGTATAACTGGTTGCATATGCTTAAGTAACAAATGTATCTTTTCAAATCAGGAAACGTTTTCAAAAAAAAAAACAAATTTTTGTTAGAACACCTACGATAGAAATTTTCTACCACTCGAATTTCGAATTTGTTTTCTGTGCGAAAAACAATCTACTACTAACGGTAGAAATTTCGCGATTGATACGAGCGCCACCTGTTGTATTCTGGATAAGAACCTCTATTAAGTGGTAAGTTTCTGTGCTAAAAATGAATATTTCTAGAAGTGACTAATCATCCGGGAGTCTCGGATGAATAGCCTCGACTCAACATTCTTGAATCGGTGAATCGGAAGTAGAAATTTTAAGGGGAGAATGAGACAAAAATACAAATTTTGTGCGTTGCAGATAAAAAGGAAAAACCAGTTTTCTATTCCCTTGAATTCAAGAATAGCTACCTTGTTGCTGCTATGCATGCGAAATATATTTTTAAAATCTAATTTTTTCGGTTTTCCCACAAAAACAATTAAATAATTAATTAACTCCTTAATTCTGATTAATTCCCGCAATCCATAGCTGTCAGTTGTCACATCTAATCGGAAAAACCATACATTGAAATGATGGAATGGTGTTGCATCTATTGCATCAACGTTGGATAAAAAGACAGCGCTGTTAGTTCATCATTGATAGATTGATGAAATAAAAGACAGGTAGAGTATTTTTTAGTTTGATTGTTGTATGTAGATTTGATAGTAATGGTAGGGGAGTCAGTAACACTTTTAGGTATGTAATTTGTGAAAGGTAAAATTTTATTACAAATATATCGTTCATTCTTACCTTGAAGAATATGGAAATAGTTTGTTACGCAGCGATAGGGCCCTCTACGATGACGTTTTGAAAAAGCCTGTGTAGAAAATGATGTCATAGAAGTGCAAACGTGAAACTTTACATCAAAAGTTAGTAGAAAAAAGTTTTTTGAAATTCGGCTCACAGTAGGTACCTTATTCTTGCTTGCTGACATGGCATTTCACAGCTAGATTGATTGATCTTCTACAAACCTTCTGTAAATATCTACTAAAAAAGTTTCACTGGCTCCACATACTGGCTCCCTACTATATAGAATCGATGACAGTTGTTTATAATAGCTTTGTTCCAACACACACACAAACCGTAATATTACGGTCATCGTCATGCGCAGTAAATAAAAACCTATCAATTAAGCCCAAAGTCGAACGGTTTTTATTTACTGCGCATGACGATGACCGTAATATTACGGTTTGTGTGTGTGTTGGAACAAAGCTTACAACGATGACATGGGGTAATCGTCGTAGCCAACTTAACAGTTGTAACCCAGTATATATACCAATGTTGTAAGACGTGGATAAGAAGGAGATAGAAGAAAGTGTTTCGAAAATTACCAGATTCAAAATACCCGCGCTTTTTCGCACATGAGTAATGGAAAATTGTAGAAGTTAAAGATCAATTAGAATTAATTATTTTTTTTTAATAATACTCGTACATATGTATTTTGTGCATAGCTACACTGTTTTAATTTGAATATAATGCATAATATAAATACAGATTTTGTTTTCGTCTTAAAATAACCTACATTACCAAAACAGTTTTTAAATAAACCAAATACCTATGTAGTTCATTGACCTTACACCCTAAAATCCATCACAAATAATAGGTATTCAGTTAAAGGTAATTTAAATAAAACAATAAATTTAAAAAATTGAAATTAAAAATGTATGAGAAAAAACAAATTAAAAACTGTCCTGTATCTTATAGCTTTGAAAGTGAGGTTAAGAAGTATGTGTAAGATTGGCACCAGTTTAATTAACTCAACATTTAACTTTTAATTTTAAAATTCCCAGCGAGTTGTGTAAAATCTACGTGTGTTAAAATTTAAAATAATAAATTTAGGTTTCGTCGGTAATTTCGGACAATTTGTGATGGAGCTTTCGTTCTGGTGGATGATTAGCCACTTCCAATTTTTAATGTACATTAGCGACAATTCGCTGTCAAGCGGAGAAATTTAATGGTAGAGTTTTGGAAAATGTACACATTAGCGCTTCTTCAACAACGGTCGTTTCTTTCAAATTTGAAATGTGTTTGAACATTGTTTGAAATTTTGACTCAAAAAGTTATTCAACGTAGTGTTTTTTTATCAAATAATATTCCAAAAAGTGATAAAATCCCGATACTATGACTTCTGCTGCCCAAAGTACCAAGTCGGCAATTACAGTGAGGGGTTCAGCAGATATAGTCTGTGATTATTTGAGTATGTACATTTTTTTTCAGTAATTTTGAGGTTATGTCGTATATTTTTTTAGATTATGGAATCAATTCTATTTTATATCAACGCGGTTTGTATCCACCGGAGAATTTTAAACCAGACGAAAACTATGGACTCACCATTTTGATGTCTACAGATACAAAAATTAAGGAATTCTTATCGAAAACTTTGGATCAATTAAATGGTAACAAAGCATTTTGTATTTGTTGCTTAATTTATAGTGATATTTGGCTTTTTTTAAGGTTGGTTAGTAGAGAGGGCGGTAAACAAAATAGCCCTAGTGATAACGAATGTTAAAACACTGGAAATTATGGAGAGATGGGATTTTAAAGTGGAATATGATGAAGCGTCACTGACCAATCCCGAAAAAGTTTCTGAAAAACCACTTAAACAAATAAAAAACGAAATTAGGGACGTACTCAAACAAATAGCCTCATCTGTGGCTTTTTTACCATTGCTGGACTGTGTGTGTAGTTTTGATATACAGATTTATACAAAGCCGGAAGTTGAGTTGCCCAAAGAATGGGCAGAGGCTGCTCCAGCTAATATTAAGAACGCTCAAAGTGTTAAAATGAGGTCGTTTTCGACGAATATTCATAAAATGGAGACTGTGGTTACTTATAAAAATGATGATTGATTTTTAACTATTTTTAAGTAATAATATTTATAGGTACATTAGTTTTATATATATAATTTAGGAACTATTACCTCATGTTTGACTGTATCTGATCTTTTTTTTAGAGCATTTTTGTATTAAGTAACATTCTGCGAATTAAAAAAATATTTTACAATAAGTATAATTTTTTTTTACGAACTACAAAAATATAATAATAATAATAATAATAATGTTTATTCATGTAAGAAATTTGTTTACAGTAAATACAATAAAAATGGGTAATTCACAATAAACATAAAAAAAATCACAGAAGTGAAAAATTTCACTTGTATGTGATGTAGATACCATAAAATAAGTTTTATGAACAAGTTAGTGTACATAAAACGTCACAGTAGAGAACAAGTCACAATCAGAAGCAAAATAATACTTGACATATTCAGTTAAAAAGTCACATCAGGGATATTAGGACGTAATTTGAGTAAAACGTTACAATAAAGACTGTAAAATGTAATTTAGTTTAAAGAAGTCAGTTTCCATTTTCATTATTGTAAAATAAATAACCACTTCGCTAAACATTGTTCCTCCTCCATTTGCAAATAAAGATTTAGTTTAATTTTAAAAGCGCTGTAGGAGCATGCATTTCTTATCACTGACGATAATAAGCTATATAATCTTGGCGCTAAAAAGTTAGCGTTTCGTTGTCCTATAGTTTTACTGGATCTAGGAAAGAATATTTCTTCATTCCATCCTGTATGGTAAATACGTTCGTTTGGAATTAATTTAATTCTACCCTTTTTTATGGATAAAAGGATTCGGAAACAATATAATTGTCTAATATCTTTAATATTTAGGTCATTATATAATAGACGGCTTGAAAAGGTAATGTCTTTCCTATAAATGATTTTTAGAATCCACTTTTGGATGACATGAACATCATTTAAATGACAATCTGCTACTCCTCCCCACCCTAGTATACCATAGCTTAGTATTGACTCAACAAGTGAAAAAATAGAGCACTTTAAGATGATTTATTAGGGCCATTTGCACCGGTAGTAGTTAAGAAATAAGCTAATCTTAAAGTGACATTGTTACTGGAAAAATGTCAGTTTAAGCTTGGCTTATTTCTTAACGACTGGTAGTGCAAATGGATCTCAGTGTAAGGTAATCCTTTAGATGCTTAAACTTTGATATCAAGCCTCTTACTTTTTTTACATTTTGGTTTGTTTGCAGGTCCCATCTCAAGTGATGGTCGACCATGACACCTAAATACTTAACTGACGTTGACTGGGGAATTTGACAATTTAATCCTACATTAAGTGGTCCAAAATTTGGTAAACCAGAATTATAAGAAGTAAAAGGCAGATAACTTGTTTTATTGTAATTTAAAGTTAATTTATTGTAAGCTAACCAGTTTGACGTTTTTGAAAAATTATTCTCAAAAGTTATATTTTTAGTTTCACTTATGACACCGGCTATTTCAACTTGCTGTTCACGGCGAGATAAATAAGTTCGAAGAATATCGTAAGTTTTCCCTCTAATTGCGTAATCTTGAAGTTTTTCCAGTAATCTTACATGTGCGACAGTATCAAAGGCTTTCGAGAGGTCAAGGAAAATGCTTATCGTTGGTATTGTTTTATCTAGTGATTCATAAATAAACGAAGTTAGCTTGTAAATAGCATCTTCTGTAGACTTGCCCTCTCGGAAGCCATATTGACGATCTGAAAGAATATTATACTTATATAGAAAACTGTAGTCTTTTTTTGATTATTTTTTCAATTACCTTTGCTACATTCGATATTAAAGTGATCGGTCTATAGTTTTCGATATGTGATTTATTACCACATTTGAATAGAGGTTTAATTACACCATTTTTTAAGATTTTTGGAAAATACCCTTTATCAAAACATGTGTTGATTAAAAATGTTAAAGGTGTTACAATTTCAAACACTATCTCTTTTAAAACTTCAGAACGAATTTTGTCCAACCCAGGGGCCTTTTTTAGCTTAAGACTTTTTATTGCTTCAGTTACTTCTTTTTCAGATGCTGGATGTAAATACATGGTATTCTCCAAAGATCTTGTCGGTTCTTTGTAGTAAATATCCGGTATTTGATTTGCACATTTTTCTCATAGTTCACTATAATGTACATTAAAAGCATTAGCAATACCTTTCTTATCATTTAAAATAGTTCCATCTGGCAAGTTGATTGACTTTATTTTTGTTCCAGATTTACTTTTTCCACATATATTATTAACACAAATTTTAATGTTGTTTTGAAATTTAAAACCTACTTGATGAAACAAAATTTGGTTTTTCTAGAAAACGGTCGACTTTAGAGCGTATGACCAAGAGTACCTTTTTTGTGTAGAAAACATTGGCGGTTCAAATGGGCGTCTCAAAACCGTACTTTTTCCAGTGGCGTAGAATTTTTTTTTTTCAATTTCAACATCCTGTATCTTGAAAATGGTGCATTTTAGAGGGTAAGTTAATAGAAATGTTTTTTTATATTTTTGGACGAGCTATCACGTCCTGAAGTCCTGCGCATATATTATGAAACACCCTGTATATAGCAAAAAAACTTAGATTTCTGATTTATAAATTTTATCTTCTAAAACAATTTCTCAACCAGGATCTACTAATAACATTATGCTACAGTCTAGTAGAATCTATACTACGGTATGAATGGAATCTTAGTATGGGGAGGCCTGTATGGAATTACATTAAATCAGTTAAATGTTATTCAAAACAAAATCTTGAAGTTAATATATAAAAAAGATAGATTGTTTCCCACCATAACTTCATATAATGAAAAAATTAGCAATGTTAGATGTTTATATATTCACGCAGTGTGTTGTTATATACAAAAAAATGAATTTTTAAAAAACCCTTTAGAACATAACATTAGAACTGCATCGAACATGTGCATTAAAGTATCAAAACCAAATAGTGAGTTTTTAAAAACAGTGTAAATTATCTAGGGACAAAGTTCTATAACGCTCTACCTGTTTATATAAAATTATTAAACAAATATAAAAAATTCTGTAAAGTTAGCAAAATATACATTTTCCAAAATAATTCAAAGTTTATCAGAATATTCCAAGAATAACGGACTTAATACATAGATTTTTTTAAATAGTTTTTTTCTGTTCCTTGCATAAATTGTTCAAGTTTTATTTTTATAAAAAAAAAATGTTATTATCAAACTATATAAACTAAGTATAAACTATATCTTTTAGACTAACAAATAGGTAGGTATGTGTATTTTTGTCCGTATTTTTTTTATTGTTCAAATATTTTTTTCTTTTTAAATACGTTTTATAATACAAAATACAGTACTTTTATATGGTAGTTTATTTAATAGTGGTTCAAAAAAATCATAAAGTGCTCCCTTATGTTTGCCCCCTGCTCCGCAAGGCTGGCTACGCCACTGCCCACGAACAGGACTCTCACCGAACGAATATTTCGAGAATTGTCTCCCCAATCTATTACAATTATTATGAAATACGTATAAAAAGCATAAACACAAAAAGTGCATGTTTACCTAAATACGAGTCTAACTTTTCCAATCAAATCGCCTATGATTTCGTGTCTCCAAGGCAACCACGAACAAATAATGACTTTATTAAAGTAAGATGGCTACTATTTACGTGTTGTGCTGTGAAATATGTATATTTAAAAAACATTTTTTCAAAAAATAACATTCAGATTTATCTATTGTGTTACAAATGTGAAAAAGCAGTATTTCCTACAATTATTTATGTATTTTAAGGTAAGAATCTTTTTTTTTTATTAAACAGACGAATTAGTATCAAAATGTCAAACTGTAGCTACTGAATCGCCGAATCTTTGCTGGATATTTAGTAATTAGGTATTTTATCAGGTATTAGATAATTAAACAAAATATTGATATACATTTAGCCGTAATAAATGCCTAGTTCAAATAATATGGGTTGGTATGTTAGTTTTTTGTAAACTGATGAATAATTTTGCTAATATAAGTTTGAGAGTTTGATTTTTATTGATTAATAATGCCTGATTAGTGGTGTGCCTATATGGATAAATCAGTGTTATAAACATTTTTTTAGAGTTACAATATTTCATTGATTAGGATTGTTTCAAGTAGAATAGTATACAGGGTTCGTCAAAACTCATTTCTCTATATTTCTGTGAAGGCCTTTATCTTGCAATAAGAATAACTTTTTCTTCAGCACTTATAATTTTTATTACTTTTCTTTTAATATGTTTTTTATGTTTAATATTTTCCCATTAGTGCAAAATTGCTCGATATTTGATTATTTTGTGTCATAGACATGCAAACAAGATTCAAATAAAAGTTATTAGGATTTAAAATTGTCATAATTTAAAAATCATGCCTTTATACAGAGTTTTCCAAGAAAGTAATACATATTAGGGAGAGTATTATTATTATTATTATTATTATTATTATTATTATTATTATTATATCAAAGTTGAGTTTTTTAGACATTCAGAAAAACTAAAAAAAATCGCCCGGCATAAATCAAACCTGAGTTTCAATATCAATTCGTCGATTTTTTCAATTTTTTTTTAGTAAAACTAAAAAAAACACCCTGTTACCATGTAGTTTTATATTCTAAAAATATATGTTTAGAAATTTTCAGAGACATATGTGAGTTTTGTCTTTGACATTGCTTACCTGATGATGATTCTTGTGTTTAGTAAAAGTTAAACATATTTTTAATAATTACAGCAATTTGGTAATTTTTTAGTTCTTTCAGGTCCATTTCTGATCTTACAGGAATGTATCAATAAAAAATGTGTAATGTGTATTCTGGTAACCCTGTATTTCAGTTTCATTTCTCAGTATTGCATTCGTGCCGACGAGAAAATTTTCTTACACTTTACAACACGTTTTCATTCATTCTAAGTCCAAAAATTCAAAAAAAATTGTCTGGTTTTCTGTGCGTATGTATGAAGGTACGGTAACTCTAGAACGGAAGCTCCGATGAACTAGCGGTTTTGATTTTCTTAAATAATTCTTAGAATTTTCGGTTTAACCTAACTACTTTTAATATCAATGTTTTAAAAATTCAATGCATTTCTGATGAGTTTATTTCATGTACTCCAACATAGTGAAATCAGACTATACGGATGTATATGCCCGTCAAGTGTGAAACAACAGATAATATTTCTACAGGGTGTTTCAAAAAGATTGGTCATAAATTATACCACGTATTCTTGGGTCAAAAATAGGTCGATTAAATTGTACTTACTATATACAAAAGTTCACCCAAAAATAGTTAAGATAAAAATTTAAATGAATTTTTTTAACGTTGCTCTTAAATCGTTTGACATTTCGATTAAATTTTACTTACTATATACAAAAGTTCACCCAAAAATAGTTAAGATAAAAATTTAAATGAATTTTTTTAACGTTGCTCTTAAATCGTTTGACATTTTTTCATGAAATTTTATATGACGTGTTGGAATACCATGACTAACAAAATTGAGGTAGCGGCAATA